GAAAATCAATGAAAAAAAATATCCTCAGGTGAGGATTTAAAAAAAAAGAAACCAACAAATGAACTTTAAAAGATAAAAAATAAGAGCAAAAATGAAATTCCATTGGATGGAATTAAACACAGATTACAAACTTTACCAAAAAAATCAGTGCTACATATAAACTATCCAAACAGAAGCAGAGAGAGAAAATGAAGTCTGGAAAACAAATGAACAGAGCTTCAGTCACCTGTGTAGCAACATCAGCTGGTCTAATATATGTGTAATTAGAGTACCAGAAGGAGAAGAAAAAAGATAGTTGAGGAAATAATGCCTGAAAATTATCCAAACTCAGAGCAACATCAGCATGATGGCAAACTAAGAACTAGACCCTCATGCCCCCACAGAAACACCAAATAAACAGTAACATTCGGACCAAAGCAGCTCTGGGAGAACTATAGAAACCAGTTAAGAAGCTGCAACAACCAAGTAAATACCTAACCAAGAGAAAGATTCACTCAAAATGGTAGGAAATTCCATGTTTTCTCTCCACACTGAGTAGCATGATGAAATCCTGTGCCTTCTAGCTCTGTCCAGCCGGGGATGTGAATCACTCCTTTGTCCAGTTTGTCCACGCTGTATATGTTACCCAACCATTAGTCACTTAGTACTCATCTTGATTATCAGGATCACTGGTCACAGTATTTATATTCAAGTAACTCTTATGTTACTTTAATGGCTCCAAAGTGCAAGAGTAGTGATGCTGACAATGTAGATATGCCAAAGAGAAGCCCTAAACTACTTTATCCTAGTATGTATGTATAGGAGAAAACAGAGTATGTATATGTGTGTGTATACATATATGTATACTCACACACACACACACACACGTATGTGTGTGTGTGTGTGTGTGTGTGTGTGTGTGTATATGTATATATATATGGTTCCATACTCTGTGATTTCAGGGATCCATGCGGTGTTAGGACAGATTCCCTGCAGATTAAATCAAGAGATAGTACAGCATGCCTACCAAAAAGGCCAAAATCAAAATAAGAGAGATACTACCAAATGTCGGCATGAATGTGGAGGAACCTAAACTCTCATACATCATTAGTAGTAGAAGAAGCATGGCTTTGTTGGGAAAAGGTCTAACAGTATCCTATAAAAGTAAGCATATACCTACACTTTATCCAACAATTATATTCCTAAGTATTTGCCCAAGAAGAATAAAAATATATACTTAATACTAAGATTTCTGCACAAATGATTATATGTAGTAACTTTATTTAACAGCCCAAACTAGAAACCACCCACACATCCATCAACAGTTGAATGGATAAAAAATTTTGGTTCATTCAAGTAAAGAAATACTACTAAAAAGAAATTAACTAATATAACACACACCAACATGAATGACTCTCAAAAATTAAGAAATGAGTTTTTCTCAGAGAAAAATCAACCAAAACACAAAGGAAGAAGAGTTAAACATATGAAAAAGTCTTAATACCAATAATCATACAAATAAACAGTAAAGCAATGAGCTACTATTTTTTTGTCCACTGAATTACAAAAAGTACATAAAAGAATGACAACACCCAGTATTGGCAAGGGCAGGAAAAGAAACCTATAGAAAGCTATAGTCTGAAGTATAAAATTCTATAGCATTTCCTGAAGGTAATCTGGATATACATAGCAAAAGCCTCCAACATACACATGCTCTTTTTCAACTTCTAGGACTATCCTATCTAATAATAGACAAACATGGTAATTGACCGTACCTTCGCTACACCTCCCATGGGCTAATCAGCACAATATGCAAATTAACCGCCAACAAAGATGGTGGCTAATTTGCATACTGCAGGCAGGGCGGGACAGCGCCATCCCGCCTGCCCTGCCACCATCCAAGCCTGCTATCTGCAACCCGGGACGGCGGGCGTCCATGTGAGACCTGACCAGGGTGGCCGGGCGGGGCAGCAGTGATCGGCCGGCCCACCCGGGCATCCCATGGGCGACCCGACCCAGGGCGGCACCCCAACCCCCAGATCGGCCCTGCCGTGTGCACGACCCGGGGAGGCGGGGCAGGCACCAAGGGATTGGGCCTGCCATCTGCCACCCGGGGAGCAGGCCTAAGCCAGCAGGTGGTTATCTCCCGAAGGGGTCCCAGACTGTGAGAGGGCACAAGTGGGGCTGAGGGACACTCCCCCACCCTCCCACCCCCACCAGTTCACAAATGGCTAATATGCAAATCGACCAAATGGCAGAACAACCGGTTGCTATGATTCACACTGACCACCAGGGGGCAGATACTCAACGCAGGAGCTTCCCCTGGTGGTCAGTGTGCTCCGACAGGGGGAGCACCGCTCAGCCAGAAGCTGGGCTAGCGGCTGGGGAGTGCAGTGGCGGTAGCAGGAGCCTCTCCCGCCCCCATGGCAGGTGGAGAGCACTCAACGAGTCCCGGACTGTGACAGGGTGCAGGCTGGGCTGAGGGACACCACCACCGCCCCCCCCCCCATGCACAAATGTCGTGCACTGGGCCTTTAGTACTAAATAAGAAACTAAGACTAATGCAGCCCAGCCAGTGTGGTTCAGTGGTTGAGTGCCGACCTATGAACTAGGCGATCACAGTTCGATTCCGGTCAGGGCACATGCCCAGGTTGTGGGCTTGATCCCCAGTGTGGGGCATGCAGAAGGCAGCTGACCAATGATTCTCTCTCATCATTGATGTGTCTATCTCTCTCTCTCTCTTCCTCTCTTAAATCATTAAACATATTTTTTTAGAAGAATACTCATAGCGTTATTATTTATAATACAAAATAGAATAAATAAAGTTTAAATTTTATATGTCCTTATAACAAAATAGTAAGCAGCCATTAAAAGTCAAGTCATCTGAATAGTTAATGAAATCAAATAATGTTATTTTAGCCATCACTACTATAATTTCCTTCCTAGTCTCCAAAGCAAAGGTAAAATATTTAGGTTTTTGTTCAATGACAAAACAATGATCATGGTATAATGTCTAATTTCAAAGAAAACAGTATATAAAACCATATACAAGACACATATTATTTTTTAAATGTATGTGTGCACACATGCACACACAAATATACCAAAACATTATCTCCCAATGGTGAGGTCATGGGTGCCTTTTGTTTTGTTTGTTAATCCACACTCGAGGATATTGTTCCATTGATTTTTAGGGAGAGTGAAAGAGAGAGGGAAAGACAGAGATAAATATTGATGTGAGAGAAACACATCAATTGGTTGCCTCTTGCACAAGCCCCAACCAGAGTCCAGGCCAGGTAGGAGCCTGCAACTAAGATATATGCCCTGGATCAGAATCGAACCCGAGACCATTTGGTCCACAGGCCAACGCTCTATCCACTGAGCCAAACCAGCGAGGGCCATGTGTGACTTTTTATTAACCCTTTCTGTATTTTCTAAATTTTCTATAATAAATATACATTACTTTCATAATTATTTTAAAAATCAATAATATTTCTTTAAATTACCTAAAAGTATATACAAAAAGAGTTTTAAAATGTATTTTCTGCCCTGGCCAGGTGGCTCAGTTGGTTGGAGTGTCATCCTGTACACCAAAAGGTTGTGGGTTCGATTCCCAGTCAGAGTGGGTAAGGGAAGCAACCAATCTATGTTTCTCTCTCACATAGGTGTTTTTCTCTCTCTCCCTCTCATCCCCTCACATCTTTCTCTCCCTTCATCTCTCTCTAAAAATCAATAAAAACATATCATCAGGTGAGGATTTAAAAAAACACTTATTTTGTAATCTAAATTATCTGCTATTATCTTGGTCACAAGCATTTCACTGTTATCCTATATAATAAAAGCTTAATATGCAAATTGTCCCCTCGGGCAGTGGTTCAACCGGGAGTTCAACCAGGAAACCAGAAGTTCGACCACTTGCTATGACGTGCACTGACCACCAGGGGGAGGCACGGAACATGGTGGGCTTTGGCAACGCGGTGCTGGCAGTGGAGGCGCTGCTGGCCCTGATGGGCCCCGACGAGAGCAAGACCACGGCAGAGTGGGACCGTGGCGGGATGGCGGAACAGGTGAGCAGGCGGCGCCGGGCCAAGGTGGGTGTGAGCAGGGGCCTGATCGCCCCGCACCAGCGGTGGCAGTGGGGGGCGGGGCCGCTGCCCAGCTAGGTGCTGAGGGAGCTGGGAGGGGGGCCCGGCCCACACCGTCCTGCAGACAGTAACCAGTGGCTGTGGCAGCAGGGGCCTGGCTCCAATCGATCGCCCTGCAGGCAGGATGATGGAGCAGGTGAAGGGATGGTGCCAGGCCATGGCAGGGTGCCAGGCGGGACTGCAAGGCTGGGGGCATGAGCTAGAGCAGCCGTGGGCAAACTACGGCCCGCGGGCCGGACCCGGCCCGTTTGAAATGAATAAAACTATTGAAATAAAAGACCATACCCTTTTATGTAATGATGTTTACTTTGAATTTATATTAGTTCACACAAACACTCCATCCATGCTTTTGTTCTGGCCCTCTGGTCCAGTTTAAGAACCCATTGTGGCCCTCGAGTCAAAAAGCTTGCCCACCCCTGAGCTAGAGCCTGATCTCCACAGAACACCCCAAGGGGCCCCCCCCACCTGTGCACGAATTCGTGCACCAGGCCTCTAGTGTAAGTATAAAAATTCCACATGCAAAATTGTTTTTTGTTACTAATCCCAAATAAGCCATGACTGTCCAGAGGTGGAAGATCTACAGATAATGACATCTCATTAACATTGCCATCCATAAAGTGCAGGATAGTATGTATATTAAGATGATCCTTTTGTGTCTTAGAATTTTTAAAGAATATTTCAATAATATATAGACACGTATGTGCTAATATTTCTACAGTTTTGTTTTGTTTTGTTTTCAGCTTAGAATTAAAAGAAACCACCAGAAATGGTTACCTTTTTGGTAGAAGAAATCTGTATCTACTATTTCAATTATGAACCATTTCTGTACTCTTCATTTTTCTTTTAAACTTTTGGTTTGTTTAGTTTGCTACTTACCATGGAGCACTTCTCTAGTACTTCCTCCTGGAACTTCAGGAATCGTTCCTGAACCTCAGCTTCATTGAGGAAAAAGGAAAGAAAGTGAGTGAAGGGCTGCTTTCTTCTAAAAGTGAGCAAAAGAACATCAATCCGAGTCCGGGCTGAAATTACACCGCTTCGATGCTGGCCAGTGATTACTGCAAACAAACAAAATATACGATTAACGATATTTATACGATAAATGTTTATACGAAAAAATATACGATAAGCATTTGATGTAAGATAGGCGACCTCCTGATACTGTCATATGTGGGGAGCTGCTGAATGTGTACATAATTCTAAACAGCGGACAGAATCAAGAGTAAGAAACTTAAAATGAATTCAGTCTAAGCAGATGAGGTCTTAAAACAAAAAATCCTTAAAGACCAGCTGATGAACTAGAAAAATGAGCTACAAAGCAAACCCTCATACTTTGTTGGTGGAAATGTAAAATGGTGCAGCTGCTATGAGAAAGTATGGCAGTTCCTTAAAAAGTTCAAAAGGGCCTGGCAGTGTAGGCTCAGCAGCTGAGCTTCGACCTATGAACCAGGTGGCCATGCTTCAATTCCCAAGCCTGGTTTGGGGGCTTGAGCCCCAGTAGGGGGCATGCAGGAGGCAGCCAATGAATGATTCTCTCTCATCCTTGATATTTCTCTCTCTCTTCCTCTCTCAAATCAATAAAAATATATATTTTTTTAAAGTTAAAAAGGAATTACCATATGATTCAGCAATTCCCACACCGAGATAGAAACCCAGCCTAGGCAGTTTGGCTCAGTGGACAGAGCATCGACCTATAGACCAAAGGGTCCCAGGTTCAATTCCAGTCAAGGGCACATGCCTGGTTGCCGGCTCAATCCCCAGTAGGGGGTGTGCAGGAGGCAGCCAATCAATGATTCTCTCTCATCATTGATGTTTCTATCTCTCTCTCCCTCTTCCTTCCTCTCTGAAATCAATACAAATATATTTTTAAAAATAAAATAAAGCCCTAGCCGGTTTGGCTCAGCGGATAGAGCGTTGGCCTATGAACTGAAGGGTCCCAGGTTCGATTCCGGTCAAGGGCACATGCCCAGGTTTTGGGCTCGATCCCCAGTGTGGGGCGTGCAGGAGGCAGTGGATCAATGATTCTCTCTCATCGTTGGTGTTTCTATCTCCCTTTCTCTCCGAAATCAATAAAAATATAAAACTAACTAAATAAATAAATAAATAAAAATAAAATAAAATAAAATAAAAATTATTTATATATTACTATAGGATAGCAAAAATGGGGAACATATTCAACTGTCAATGGTGATTAGGTCTGGGTTTCCTATTATAAAAGATTTCCCTTTATACCAGTATATAATTTCTGCAAGTTTCCATGTTTAAAGCATACAGTAATTATAAAATTAGGGGGGGGAAATAGATAAATAAACTTAAATGCAATTATAAAATATTTCAATATTTGTAACTTGAACTTTAAAGCTTAAGGAAAGACCTAAGTTTTTTATTTGTAAGTCTTTTTTTTGTTGTTGTTAACCCTCAACGATATTTTTTCCATTGATTTTTAGAGAGAGGAAGGGGAGGAGGGCCGAGGAGAGAGAAAGAAACTTCGATGTGAGAAAAACACATGGATTGGCTGCCCCCCACACAAGCCCTGACCAGGGCCAGGAATTGAACCTGCAACCCAGGTACAATCCCTTGACTGGGAAATCAAACCCTCAACCCTTCAGAGTGTGGGCCAATGCCCTAACCACTAAGCCAAACCAGCCATGGCTTTATTTGTAATTCTAATGAACTGAATGTATATTTTTTAGAAGTCCTTTGTAAATGTCATTGAAGTTCTTAGGCTGGAGTTTACTAAAGTTACAAGATGCTGGGGAAAATCTAGTACTGTGCTGTCCAATATAGGAGTCCACATGCAGCTAGTTAAACTAGAGGTTAAATGAATTAGAATTAAATAGAACTACAAATTCAGTTCCTCAGTCACACTAGCCACATTTCAAGTACTCACAGTCACATGTGCCAGTGGCTGCTGTGCTGGACAGGGCAGATATAGAACATACCATCATCACAGGAAGTTCTTTTGAACAGCACTGCTCTAAAGTCAACTGTTACTTATCTGTCACAATGATTATTCTTACATAGCACAAAATAAGAAGAGTACTTGAATTTTTTTTCTCCTAAAACAATACAATCTGTGGGTGTTTATGGAAAATAGATTATTGAAGGTTGCTGAACTTAGTTGATTTTTTAGAAGTCCTATAGTTTTAGGATGAATTTATAAAAAATTTGTCCCCACACTGACCCTCACTCAAAGCTGTTGCCCTTGGTTCACACTGATGTTCGGTACAGACATTTTCTGACTTGTTTTATATCACCCAACTATTTTTCCTCACCCAAGCAGTTATTTGAATCACGCTGGCATTTTAATCGCTACCCAGAGTCTACAAAGCAAGGTAAAAACAAGCAAACACTTATGGAAAGGGCTGGACTTTATTTCAAATTTGCATGTCTCATTGGTTTCCTCTAATTCTAACTTGAAACAATTCACACCCTCCATTTCAAGCTACTGAAGCATAAAATAAATCAAATCACAATGAAATCCAGGAGCTTTATCCCATCGGTGCCAGGTAAAGTATAAAATGAAGGCCCAGGTACTCAATCAAGATAAGGTGGTATAATTACATCTTTCTCCATTTGGTAGATTGATACTGATAAATCACAAAAAGGCCAATAGCTACAGAACCTCATAACGAATATAGTCACTAAACACCTCAGTTGGGTTACATTATTCCATACACATACAAAAATGATTGCAAATATAACGTATACACTGGGTCTCACCAATTTCTCCTTCTTGTCCAGGCTTAGGAATACTAATAGAAGTTTTGGTCTCCACCTCTAGTTTCTTCTTAGTGTCCCCTCTCTTTCCAACTATATGTCTATAATATAAAGAAAAAATTAATTACTGGAAGGATATTGGGCAAAAATGTACCAAAATAAAGAATTCCATCATGTTTAAATACCAGAGATACTCCATTACAGAAAAGTGCTTCAGTGAAAGTTCAATAAATGTAGAGGAACTTACAAGTCATATAGTTTTGTTTTGGTTTTGTGGGTGTTTTTTTGTATTGTTTTGTTTTGTTTTAATTTTAGAGAGAGATTAAGGGGAGAGGAAGAGAGAGAGAGAAACATCACTGAGAGAGAAACATTGATTGGCTGCCTCCTGCATACCCCCTACTAGGGATCGAGCCCATAACCCAGGCCTGTGCCCTGACAGGAATCGAATTGGTGACATCTTAGTTCATGGGTTGATGCTCAACCACTGAGCCACACTGGCCTGGAACAAGTCACATAGCTTTACAGAACATACAGCATTACACTCATTGACAAAAGGATGTCCTACAGCCAAATTCAATGTAAAGGAATAATTACTATGCCTAATACCTGTTTGCTTCTTAAAATTACATTAAAATCTGAGTCTGCACTTGACTGAAAGGAAAGCTGACATAGTCTCAAAGGCAATTCCAGCAACCAATGGGACTACAGTTTGAGGGGGGAGAGCCTTGTCCTTTTGGAGTACAAGTTAACTACATTATGAATTCATCCTAAGGGAACTGTCCTTAATTAAATAAGGGTAAAGAACTTAGCAAAGAGTAGCATCCACCATTCAGGATGGATTCAAAGGCACAGAGGATAAACAGGCAAACCTCAGGAGGCTGAATTCACACAGACAAGTTTTATTTGGAAGAGTCTACCTAAAAATTTGGAAATTTCACCTAAATTTAGATTTTCAGGTTCTATAGATAAGTTAGAAGATATGACAACAACAGACTGAAGCCTATTCTCATCCCTAAAAATGGAACATGAGCTCATCATGAATCCCATCACTCCCTAATATCTTTCACCTACTCCACCTGATTATCTATAGATTCATTTACACTACTTGCCTAGCACTCCTAGTATAAATAATTCTGACATTCCAAAGTTATCTTCTGGAATCCATAATAATTAGATTTGTTACAGTGAATAAGACTACTGGATCCCAGGAGAGAAGTTTCAGTATCTATAAAGCATTAAGAGACCTTCACTGGACTATAAAGTTAAGAGAAAAACTCCCCCATCAACAGTATTTTGGCTTCTATGACTTTAATACAGTACCCAGTAGCATGGGTGACTATGTCTAAAACTGTCCATTTGCTTTAATTTTTTTCAATATTATTTTATATTCGTCTCAGGTGTGCAGCATAGTAGCTAGACCAGCCGTGGGCAAACTACGGCCCGCGGGCCGGATCCGGCCCGTTTGAAATGAATAAAACTAAAAAAAAAAAAGACTGTACCCTTTTATGTAATGATGTTTACTTTGAATTTATATTAGTTCACACAAACACTCCATCCATGCTTTTGTTCCGGCCCTCCGGTCCAGTTTAAGAACCCATTGTGGCCCTCGAGTCAAAAAGTTTGCCCACCCCTGGGCTAGACGATCATATACTTTACACAGTGATCCCCTAATATTTCAAGAACCCACCTGGCACCACACATAGTTAATACAATATTATTGACTATATTTCCTACATTGTACTTTACATCCCCATTACTATTTCGGAACTACCGATTTGTACTTCTTAATCCCTTCACCTTTTCATCCAACCCCCCAACTCCCTTCCCCTCTGGCAACCATCAGTATCTGTAAGTCTATTTTTTATTTTTTCCTTTATTTTGTTCTTTAGATCAGCGGTCGCCAACCAGTGGTCCGTGGACCACTGGTGGTCTGTGAGATCCAAAAGGTTGGCGACCCCTGGTTTAAGGAAACCTTTGAAGCAATGGTCGCCAAAGACAAATGGTATTTGTCTTTCTCTGACTTAGTTCACTTAGCATAATACCCATGCTGTTGAAAATGGTAATATTTAAGTCCTTTTTATAGCTGAGTAATATTCTATTGTATATATGTACCACAGCTTTTTTTAAAAAAATATATTTCTTGCCCTGGCTGGTTTGGCTCAGTGGATGGAGCGTCGGCCTGCAGACTCAAGGGTCTCAGGTTCGATTCCGGTCATGGGCATGTGCCTTGGTTGCGGGCACATCCCCAGTGGGAGGTGTGTAGGAGGCAGCTGATCGATGTTTCTCTCTCATCGATGTTTCTGGCTCTCTGTTCCTCTCCCTTCCTCTCTGTAAAAAATCAATAAAATATATTTAAAAATATATATATATATTTCTTTATTGATTTCAGAGAGGAAGGGAGAGGGAGAGAGAGATAGAAACATCAATGATGAAAGAGAATCATTGATCGGCTGCCTCCTGCACGCCCCCTACTGGGGATCAAGCCCACAACCCGGGCATATGCCCTTGGCCGGAATCGAACCTGGGACCTTTCAGTCCGCAGGCCAACGCTCTATCCACTGAGCCAAATCGGCTAGGGCTGTACCACAGCTTTTTTATCCACTCATCTATTGATGGGCACTTGGGTTGCTTCCATATCTTGGCTATCTATCTTCTATATATATAAAAAGCTAATATGCTAAGTATCCAACCATCCGCACTGACCATCAGGGGGCAGACACTCAACGCAGGAGCTGCTGTGACGTGCACTGGCCATTTACAGAGAAACGGCAGCACGGACCTGGCACCCACAAAGCAACACCTGGCTTCCCCCAAGTGGGACACAAGCCCTACCACCACCCCAGAGCAACAGCCCACCAAATTGCAACTGACACTGACAGGACCCCATGGCACAAAATGTGGCCCCCTAGCCCAGCCCAGCCCGAAACGGTGGCTGTGGGCCCCAGGTAATGACGTCATGTAGCAACACCTGGCTTCCTCTCCCTAGCAACTAGCCTCCTTGGAGTTTCTTCAGTCCAGGAACACAATTTGCTTTATAGCCAGTTGCAAACATTTCACACTTTAACCAAATGTCTGTGAAGCGTTTCCGCAGGCCTCATCTCATTTGATCCTCACAGAAGTCCTGAAGTAGGTAGACGGGAGACTCAGTGGAATCCTATTTTCCTTTCATTAACTGGAAAACAGTGATTTAGAAAGCTTAGAAACTTGACCCAACTGAAAAAAGAAAATGGTGGACCTTGAAAATGACTTCAGGTTTTCTCACTGTGCAGAATATAGTCAAACACTGCTGCAGTAAATATTTTGCCCTTTGTTCTCCCTGCGTGATCTACAATAATAATCTGCTTCTGATATTTACTGCTGTGTTGCTGACAATTACCTGAAAGAGAAGTTGGGGTGCTTCACTGGGCTGGAAAAAGTTTAGCTAAATCAGAAAGCAGGTCTAATTAAACAAGTTTATTCTATATACTCCCTCTGTCCCATAATAATAGTAGCAAGTGAATATTTAAACGGGAATTATTGGCAAATGCAGCTGTAAGTTATGTTGTAGCGCAAAATTGCAAAGCCTTCAATCAAAATCAATGTTTCATGACATCTGTCATTTGTTTTGACACATCTTTCAATTTTTAGGTTAATCTAATTATTACAAAGTATAACTACTTTTCTAATTTCATCCGCTGATCGAAATCAATTGTTTTATTTCAGTTGAATATCGACCCATTGTAAAAGTAAGATTTAAAAATGAGAGTTTTCAAGCAAAGATTGAGTTGTGATTGTCCAGTTCTTTTTTTTTTTTTTTTTAAATATATTTTATTGATTTTTTACAGAGAAGAAGGTAGAGAGATAGTTAGAAACATCGATGAGAGAGAAACATCGATCAGCTGCCTCCTGCACATCTCCCACTGGGGATATGCCCGCAACCCAGGCACATGCCCCTGACCGGAATCGAACCTGGGTCCTCTCAGTCCACAGGCCGACGCTCTATCCACTGAGCCAAACCGGTTTCGGCGATTGTCCAGTTCTTGATGCATCAAAAGAAAAAGAAAAAGTTGTAGAAAGGTGCAAAACAATTTAAGTGCAACAATTTAGCTGCAAAACAATTTAAGTGCAACAGAATGACCATATCAAGAATTTGGAAACGTGCTTCCGAAAATAATTGTCAAGGAGAATCTTATCCTAATGTTGATTCTTTAAAAAAACAAAACTGTGGACGTAAATGCAAAGATTATGGAGAAAAACTTGAAAAACTTAGACATATTACTCTTAGCAGAAGAGGCACCATATTAGCCTTTGATAATATTTCTCCCGAAATACTGGATAATACGTTTCTGTCACTTCAACAAGTTATGCTGGAAGCAATGAAGAACGATGACTCCAATAATTTTAAGCTCACGCATATAGGGAAATTGCAGCCAAGGGATCCTACCTACAAGTTTAAAATGCAGTAACGAAATTATTGAAAAACCCAGAAACTATCTGAACACTCAAAATACAAATTAGGAGTACTATTTTTAATTTATTGTTTAATTTAATCCAGTTTTTTTATAATAAATGTTGCATCCTATATTTATTTTCTTTTGCTACTATTATTATGGGACAAATTACATTCATCAACTGCTATTATTATTATGGGACAGAGGGAGTATATAAAAGGCTAAGCTGACTCGTGCATGTGTGATACATATAAAGCTCTCGCTGGCGCCAATCACATGCGTGTTTCGATCTGTCATTGTCGATTGTGAATTTGGTTGACACTTCTATTATAGAGAAAGGGTGAATAGTGATATTAAAATATTTCTTCTAATTAATTTCCTTTCAATGTGCATGAATTTGTGCACCGGGCCAGTAGTTGTAAATAAAACTGCAATGAACATAGGGATGCATATTAGCATTTGTGTTTCTTCAGATATATACCCAGAAGTGGAACTGCTTGGTCACAGGGAAATTCCATTTTTAATTTTTTGAGAAACCTACATACTGTTTTCCACAGTGGCTGCACCATTTTGCATTCCCACTAACAGTGTACAAGGGTTCCCTTTTCTCCACATAATCACCAAACTTGCTGTTCATTGATATATTGATAGCCATTCTGACAGGTGTGAGTGTACATTTGTTTTTACATGGGTTAACCAAACCCAATTATTCCCATTAAGATCTATGGTAGCAAGCCAGTTCTAAAATTACGAGATGTTTAGAAGAGGATCAGAACTCCCCAATTTACATGTGGTTTTTCTCTGTGTTGGGCTAGAGATCCTATCACATCAACTCTGTCAGGGGTTTGTCTTTACAGGCCTTATCAGTAAGGGGTGCTTTCAACCAGGCCCCTATTTGATAGCATGTTGTTAGTGAACAAGCCCATCATAAAAAGTGCTGGCTCAAAGTGTTGTCTGCGCACCTTAGAAAGGGAAGTATTTGAAGGTTAAAGATGCTTTGGACTCAAACAAACTTTGGGCAAGTCACTTAACCACTCTAAGCCTATTTCTTCACTTACAAAAAAATGGAGTGAATAACACCTAAGTATCCTAAGTATGTTGTAAAGATTAAATGGGATCATATATAAAAAGGGCTTCCCAGAGACTGGCACATAGCTCAGGACAGTCCATGCTATCCTCATTAAGCCCATAATGGCACACTCCCAATTAAAATAGACAGATTCAAAAGAGATTTACATGGAAACTCTAAAACATTCACTACAATAATACAGATAGGCGGTAAAAGGATGACTGCTTTATTAAATGTGAAAGTGGAATTCTACCAGATTGAGTGGTTCTCAATCTTGGCTGCACAGTAAAATCACCTGGAGTTCTTAAAAAAAAAACTAATGATACCTGCGTCCAGCTCCACAGATTCTGATTTAACTGGTCTGAGGTGCAGCCAGGTATCAAGAGTTTTAAAAGCTCCCCAGGTGATGCTAATGTGCACCTAAGGGTGAGAACCACAGTGCCGATCTAATCCACCATTACGCTTTGGTTATAAATTCGTTTGGCCAGGTAATTTTTCCTTGACCCCAACAAGCCTACAGAAATGATTCATAAAAAGGAATCTTCCTAGTAAATATTGTCTATTAAGTTGAATTTAACAGAACCAATATCTAATCTAACACACAAGTCACCTGGTACAGGAGTTCTTAAAATACACAGAATTCAAAGATGATGTTGGAATCATAAATCTAAGGAATTTTTACACATCTTAGCAGTAGCAGATACACACATTAAATAAAACACATTACATTGATTTTATCAGGAACTGAGCCACGACTTTTTCAAGTCATGTTTCTTAGAAAAAAATGTCAGTGCACTCTCCTTGCTGGGAGCATGCCCACGCTTTTCCCTCCCCTCTTTCCTTCCCCACACAGGCGTGCATCTCCTAAATTCTAAGGGACCCCACAAGACAGGAGCAATGGGCAGCGGCTGCTCATGCCAGGTTAACTCCCTAGACCTGTCTCTAAGGCCCCCCTTTTCTCTGACTTCTCAGTGAGCCAAAGCAGCCCCCATAAGCTCATTTCTTTTCTGTTTCTAGAGCCAAAGCAGCCCTGCCTAGGCTCTCTCCTGTGGCTTCTTCTATCCTAAACCCTTCCTTGTTTCAGTCCTCAGCTTTAATAAATATACTCTCAAAATAAAAAAAGAAGAAGAAAATGTCACTGGGACCCAAGAGGAAAGTGAGCTGTCCAGGGTTAACATTTGATTTCCCGTTTGGCCACATTCTAGAAGAATTTCATCCTTAAGAGGTATTTCAGAATACTCTCAAGGTTGATGAAAATGAAACTACTGCCTCTTGGAGCTACAAATATGGTATATGAGTCCATATTTGTAGATCTCCTCTCATAAAGGAGATTGGACAGAACTAATTCATCTGGCACAACACAGAAAACTGAGAACCACGCTGCCAAGTCACTGCAGCTCAGCAGCTCCTGCATTGAGCGTCTGCCCCCTGGTGGTCACTGCACATCATAGCTACTGGTCAGACAGTCGAACGATCGGACGGCCGCTTAGGCTTTTACAGATAGACTAGTGGCCCAGTGCATGAAATTCATGCAGGCGGGAGGAGGGTGTCTCTCAGCCCGGCCTGCACCCTCTCCAATATGGGACCCCTTGGGGTATGTCCAACTGCTGATTTAGGCCTCAATCCCTGGGATGAGGCCTAAACTGGCAGTCGGACATCCCTCTTGCAATCCGGGACCACTGGCTCCTAACCGCTCACTTGCCTGCCTGCCTGATCACCCCTAACCACTCTGCCTGCTGGCCCACTCGCCCCCAACTGCGCCCCCCGCAGGCCTTCTTGCCCCCAACTGCCCCCCCTTGCCAGCCTGATCGCCCCCAACTGCCACCCCCACTGGCCTGATCGTCCCCAACTTCCCCCCACCAGCTTGCTCGCCCCCAACTGCCCCCCCGCCAGCCTGATTGCCCCCTACTGGCCCCCCTGCCGGCCTGATAGCCCCCAACTGCCCCCTCGCCAGCCTGCTTGCCCCCAACTTCCCTCCCCTCCTGGCCTGATCACCCCTTTTGCCTCTGCCTCAGCCCCGCCACCATGGCTTTGTCCAGAAGGACGTCCAGAAGGTCTCCCAGTCTAATTAGCATATTACCCTTTTATTAGTATAGATATTATATATACTATTTTGACATGTAATTTTTCTGCAGTGACGTAATTACCACACGAATCTTTCTTCTAATTAATTTCCTTTCAATTTGCACGAATCCATGCACCAGGCCACTAGTACTCTAATAAATAGGTATGGTATCAGATGGGTATGAGATTTATTGGGATGATCACTTAGTAAGTTGCATAATGTCTAATCACTGGGGTGTACAACTAAAACTAATATAATGTTATATGTCGACTGTAATTGAAAAATAAAAAATTATTGTAAAAAAGAAATTCTAGGACATAAAACCCTAAACTACTTTGTCATTAGTAATCAAGCATTGCAATTAAGTGTGGAAGAGAGAAGAGTCATGTTGCTGCTGAGTTTCCTGGAAAAGCCTCCTCATGAAGCTGCCAGGACCTCACTCACTTGTAGAGCAGGCTGGGGGCCTTCACGGTACACTGGAAGCCTTGCTGGGTCTGTACCACCTCGTAGCCATCACAGGGCTCTTCTGCACACTCCACGAAGCCTGCACAGAAACCATAAAATCTTGCAGAGTGCTGCTCTGTGAACAGTCTTCTCCCCGAGCTGACAACCACTCTCAAGGTTTAAAAAAAAGCAACACACACAACAGCCCAACACTTTACATTGCAGAGCCCTGCTCTGACATACCTTGTGACCAGCTCTTAGAAGAAAAATAAAATAAAAAACACCTATTTCAAATCTTCCAATTTTGGAACCTTGGAAAATTAGTAAGTACATACCAGTGTTTCTCCCAGAACACAAAGACCTAATAAAAATGTTTTGCCCTAGCTGGTTTGGCTCAATGGATAGAGCGTTGGACTGTGGACTGGAAGGCCCCGGGTTCAATTTTGGTCAAGAACACATGCTCGGGTTGCAGGCCCCGCAGTGCGGGACGTGCAGGAGGCAGCCGATCAATGATTCGCTCTCATCATTGATGTTTTATCTCTCTCTCTCTCCCTTCCTCTCTGAAATCAATAAAAATATATATTTTTTAAAAGTTTTACTGCCCCACCGACATGGCTCAACCACTGTTGAGCATCCCTTCCTCTCTGAAATAAAAATATATATATATATTTTTTAAGTTTTACTATTTTTTATGGAGATGTAACTCACATAACATAAATTCATCCTCTTAAAAATGTACAACTCAGTTGTTTTTAGTTTTAAGACATAAAATTCTTCTAATGAATAAAGTTGGAGGGATACTGTGAGAACTTACTCCATACAGCAGAGACAAAGTGAAATAGAGGAGCCCAAAGACTCCAAGGCTGAAGGGAAATCATGGGGAGCATCAGGGAAGAGACTAACCTCCAAGACTTAGGGCCCAATGAAAAAGCTTATAAAGCAAAAGGCAAATAAAGCAGAGAACCTCAAAGGCCCTGCCAATTTATGCATTTAACCCAAGCCCAAGTTAATTAGCCTGAAAATATTTATAATCCATCTTGACTGTTTAATTTATTTCTTAAATTATCCCTACATCATAATAAAGTTGTGTATTTAGAACTGCTTGTATATGTCTGCAAGGAAGAGAAAAATAACAATAATAACAACATTATTGGGCACTGGATAAAATACTTTACATATATTCATTTATTTAAATAATTTATACATACATATATATATATATATATATATATATATATTATTTCACAACTTTACAGATAAAGGAAGTTCCTTTTGTTACAGAATACTAATGGCTAATCTTACCAGTTAACTAAAATTGCCCCCTCTTACATTTAAGCCTCTGTACAAAGATGAAATGTAACTAGATTTTGAACGGCCACTGAGCATCCTCATTACACTCAAACACATCAGTCCCCTTACGCACCAACACAAACGGAGCGATGAGAAGCCAATCACCTCAAATTTCAGTACAAGAAAGCAGCACGCTGAGACAAAACGAAGAGCTGCTTCTACAAAACAGAGAACAGTTTGCTTCTAATCTGACCAACGAGCAACGGGGGTTACCTTGATAGAAGTCCTCCTCCTCTTCTTCATGTGGGTAAGTCTGCTCTTGAATGGGATTCTTCCTATAAATCCGCCCTCCAATTCTTATAAGCTGCGGGCGCAGAACTTCCATGCTACGTTCCCAAACAATAGTCCAGTGAAGTCCTGGAAAAAACAAATGCTCACCTTACCTTTCGACCAGAAAGAAAAACCCTACATATGGATCATTACTCAGCCCTGAAAGGACGAAACTGGGCATCCGCTCACAGTACATCCTGAGCCCCAGCAGCCCTGTTTCCGTTAGACCTCCCTATTTGTGAGCTGTTGTGAGCCAGTCGCTTCATTTTCCACTACATCCTATCATTCCTGGCTCACTGGAGACAGTAATTTGTAAACTATTCAGCACTCCAAAAAAGGTAATTAAAAGATATTAAACCCAGAATATAGAGCCTGTCCACAGATTTGAAAGAAAAACAATAGAGGTCTGTTTATTACTTTAACCTAAAAGGAGTAAAATGCAACCTTCTGTGTTTAACCATTTGCAAAGTGTTTCACCCTTTCTATGAAGCACGATAATTAAAAGGACCAGGGAGCCCTAACCCAGTGGTTCTCAACCTTCTGGCCCTTTAAATGCAGTCCCTCATGTTGTGACCCAACCATAAAATTATTTTCGTTGCTACTTCATAACTGTAATGTTGCTCCTGTTATGAATTGTAATGTAAATATCTGATATGCAGGATGGTCTTAGGCGACCCCTGTGAAAGGGTCGTTCGACCGCCAAAGGGGTCGCGACCCACAGGTTGAGAACCGCTGCCCTAACCTGTTTGGCTCAGTGGATAGAGTGTCGGCCTGCGGACTGAGGAGTCCCGGGTTCGATTCCGGTCAAGGGCATGTATGCTGGTTGCAGGTACATCCCAGTGGGGGGTGTGCAGGAGGCGGCTGATCAATGTTTCTCTCTCATCTATCCCTCTCCCTTCCTCTCTGTAAAAAATCAATAAAATATTTTTTAAAAAGAAATCAGGGATATTTAACACTTATCCCTCAGAGGGGGGTAAAGGCCCCGACTACTTTCAGAGGTGCTTGAAATGCACACCCAACAAACAGGCCCAGATGCCTATGAAAACAGTTAAAATATGACTTCACCAACATGATTCTTCAAACCAACACACTGTCCCTTGCCTTGGGTGGTGAACACACAATACAGTGTACAGGCGACGTTTTGTGGAACTGTGCACCTAAAACCTGTATAATTTTAACCAGTGTCACCTCCATAAATTAATAAAAAGGGGGGGGGACACACATTGCTGAGAGGAGGAATCCAATTCCCACAGGCCACTGCCCAGCAAACCACACCACTCCCTGAGCAGCCGACGTTCTCGTCACAGCTCAGTGAACCAATAATTCAGGAAACAGGGTTGCTGATGGGCCGGCTGTGTTTAAATCCAACCAGTGTTCCTACCACAGAGGCTTTTAGTGGGTAAGTCTAAGGTGGTTGGTTAGTCTTGAAGCCCAAAATAAAGCTCCCAAGAAAACAGATTAGTCCTTAACAATGACACTAATACTCGATCCCCCCTCAGCAAGTCACTGTAATTGGCAGTTTGCTTACAGAACCCAGGAGACATTGCGTGTTGTGAGAAATAACCACGAAAAGGAGACTTGAGCGGAGAAGAGGGAGCATAACTAGCAATACCCTGATGTCTCCAGGACCTCTGTTAAAAATAAAAAAAGGCTCTCCACAAAGGCTTTCCTGCCCAGGTGGGCCTCAGACCAGGAGCTCTGGAAGAAGGGAGTCGGGGTTACGACAGCACAGTCATCTGCCTCCCAGGGCCACGAAACCGCTCGGGAGGAAGGCGGATACCCAGTGTGGCCCGGCTTCATGGTGGCTTGCAGAGGGAGAGGAAGGCAGAAGGCCTGCGACATCAAAGCCGAAGCCCTGCATCACAAACGCGAGCAAATAAAGGCGAGGACGTCAAGGTAACTGCGGAGGCCTCCGCGGCTGCAGGGAAACCGCGGCTGGCAGCAGAGACCACGGACCCGGAAGTCCTCTCCGGAAGCGCGTCCTCCGCGCCGGCCCGCCCAGGCCACGCCCACATTACCCGGGCGCGAGCTCGCCGTGCGCGGTCGTTCTCTGCGCGGCCGCTCCGGCTGAGGCCTGGGGGCGGGGCCGAAGGGGAAAGTGCCAAGACCGCTGAGGTAAGTTACCAAGGGCTCAGGGATGCTCAGGAGCTTTGCAGAAAGGGAGTTTATCCTCAGGATCCTACCTGCAGGGACTAGCGAAAAGGAGAAGCTAGGAGAAACGGGAGCCTGCCGCAGAGGGCGTGGAAAAGGAAGTCCCCGCAGGCCGCGACGGACTGAGAACGCATGCGCGCCTGGCGGTGGCGCATGCGCGATGGCCCCTTGGGGCCGAACGGGGTTTGGAGGGGAGTGTGGCCTGGAATGAGTTTGGGAACCTCTGGCGTTCTGACTCCTCCCCTCTTCAGCCCTTTCTCTCCACCCCACCTGGTTTTCGCTGCAGCATCTGCTTGAATGGTAACGCAGCTATTTAAGTGGGATGGATACAGTGGAACGATTTGTTGATGGAATTTGATTTGCTTATAATCATTTGCCATTGTACCACGGTACCTTCTTTAAGAGTCTATCTTTTGAATAAGACTTTTTCAAAAGGAAGGAATCTTTTTTTAACAAAATAGGCATAAATCTGCTAGGAAGGAAAATAGTTTATGAATACAAGGTCATCCCTGCCGTATGTGAAGTAAATATTGAATCATCTTGCCCTGACCGGTTTGGCTCAGTGGACAGAGCGTCGGCCTGCGGACTGAAGGGTCCCAGGTTCGATTCCGGTCAAGGGCATGTACCTTGGTTGCGGGCACTTCCCCAGTAGGGGGCGTGCAGGAGGCAGCTGATCGATGTTTCTCTCATCAATGTTTCTAACACTCTCCCTTCCTCTCTGCAAAAAAAATCAATAATATATATATATATATAAATATTGAATCATCTTAGTGTGGACACAGACATTGTGTGTCCCCCCCAAATAGCATTGCTCTTCTATGAGGATCTTTATTGCCAGTAGTCCCAGCTTCACTGATAGGGCCAAACTCCAGGTTACTTCATCAATATTTATTCAACAAAATCTTACTGAGCCGCCTACTTTGGGCGTGGCAGCCTAGTGGCAGATAGATCTGTAGAATGAGGAAGAAAAGAAAACAGTAATGAGCCAATCCTCTATCCCCTTCATAACCTTTGCTGAGCTGCTAGCACTGTGTTCTGTCATTTATTCATCATTCCTGCAGGAAACGTGATCCAGGTTCTGTGCTAGGTCTTTTTTTTTTTTTTTTTCAATTACAATCGACTTTCATTATTATTTTCTACTTGGCCATTTTGACCAGAACTTTGTGCTAGGACTTGAAGGTAGAAAGACAACTCCTTCCTCCTTTTCTAGATCACAGGATTCTTTCTAAGTTCATGAACCTTAAAATGAAAGTGTGAAGTGCATTAATGGAGGGCATTTTTCCTTTTCCTGAGCAGATCCTTTCCCCTTTAGGAGCTTGCTGACTCAATGTCAAATGGAGAGAATTAGAACTTTTCCTATGAGTGTATTGGGAGATAGTATGTATGAAAAGCAGATCTGCATGGGAAAAAAAAAAAAAGATTCAAGAGTAAATAATAATTAGTGACTTGGGAGAGCTAATAGTATTGTTTACTGTGCCGTAAATGTCCCAATTGCTTTAGTTAATATTAACCTTTATGACATTTCTAAGGTAGGTACTATTCCCATTTTAGAGATGAGGCAACTGAGGAACAGAGGTTAAGTGATTTGTGCAGAGTTATACAATAAGTAGCAAAAACCAGGACATGAACGTAAGCCTAGAAGTTTCAGAATCTGAGCTCTGAAAGAGAAAGATCAATGGGCTTCCTCCCGCACTTGGGCTTGAACCCAAAACCGGGGTATGTACCCTGATGGGGAATGGAACCCAGAACCCTTGGATGTATGGACAAAGCTCCAACCAGCTGAGCCACTCTCGCCAGGACCAGGATCTGAGCTCTTAACCACTATGCTATTTCACCTCTCACATGACACATGACATGCCAACAAAGCCATTGCTTAAAAAGTGTCACAGCAAATAAGCTAAAGTCTCTACCTCAGTTTTGTTTTATCATTAATAAAATGGGGGAGTTGGATTAGATGACCTTTAAGGAATCTTTATGATTCCTGTGAAATGTTTAGTTCATGTAGTAAACATTAATTTAAACCAACAACTACTTAGTATAGACCAGGCATTATGTTTGGTTCTGGTGATCATAATGCCTGCCTTAACAGAGCCATTCAAACTCGGGTTTATTGTTAGTTTCACTGTAACTCTGTTACCACCTCCTGATACCATTCAAAATTTAACCTAAATCGTTAAAGTTTGACCTTACTCAGATGTATCTTTCCACCTCAGCAGAAAACTGCTTGTTTATGTTAAAGTTAGCTTTGTGCTAATTCTGCACTCCAGTTTTTAACCCTGGTTGTTCTGTGTATTGAATGCTAGTTGTTCTGAATTTGAGAGAAAATAGGATGAAGGGAATTTCTTTGATTATATGCAGTTTAGAAGTCACGCTGTGTCTTGCTTTTGAAGTTGTCGGCATTCTGGCAGTTAGCTTGAGTGTTCTACTGACCAACTGGGTTTTAAAATACAAAGTATCCCTTACATTTGCAACTGGTTAAAGCTTATGTCAAGGTATAGGGAAAAGATTGGAGTTTAAGTCTCAGGTGAGATACATAAACAGTTCACAGTGGGTTCTATTCTGAACTCATGGGACATAAGACTGAGCTACTCTCCAAAAGATAACTAAGTTGTCTGTATACTTTATTTAGATCCCAACAGAAATCTAAAGAGAATTTTTAAACATGTCACACCATGTTTTGAGCTAGTATGGTCCAAGGGATTGGATATGAATCTAACTTCAAAAGGTGTTGCCTCTATGAATATGAATACAATTTTGAAAGTTATAGAGCTCAGAGGAAAAAAGGAAAAGTGACTAATACAAGGTTGAAAATGTCCTTAGTCAGTGCATTTTTAAATGGGCTGACATTCTTATTATAGCAGTTGCCTTACTGTTCCCATATCCCACTGCAGTATTAATCAGTATTACTTATAGAAATGTAATGAAATCAGACACTAAGGCCTGCTTCCCTCACAACCTTAAATCATAATCACAAAATTAAGGAAACAGAACAGCCAGATTTTCAGAAATGCACAGTATATTATTCCCTTGCTAGGAACTGGATTATGCATATATAGGGTTTATATCTGTATAGCTTTTCTTCATTAAAAAAATTTTTTTTTTTTTTCAAAACTAAGTTTCAGAGGTAGACCTTGGCAAAGCGGGCATACATGGTGGTGGGAAAAGACTTGACTTTGAGTGGTGGGCACACCATGCAGCATGCAGGTGATGTGTTATCGAGTTGTACACTTGAAACCTGTATGGTTCTATTAACCAATGTCACCTCAATAAATTCAGTAAATTTCAACTTTTTATAACAAATGTATTCCTTTTGCAACTAGCAAAATAAAAGTTTAGCAAAAATTCTCTCTGGCCATTAAAAGGGGAATTTATTTTAAAAATCCATGTAAAGTCATTTTTATCTTTTTTTATGTTATGTGAACCAAAATTCACGGTACATAAATTAACCATTAGCCATTTTCAAGTATACAGTTCAGTTTAAAGTCATTTTTTAGTCTAAATACTAGAGCTGTACTTTCCAATACAGTAAACACCAGCCCCCTGTGGCTATTTAAATTTCAATTAGCATTAAATAACATTTAAAATACAGTTTTTCAATCAACTAGTTTAATAATCACTATGAGGGTAGTTGCTGCCATGTTGGACAGGCAGAAGTAGCACATTAGAACATTAATAGATGCAGAAGTTCTGTTAGCACAATACTAGACCTTTTTTTTAAGAAAACACACTTTTTAGAATCTTTTGTAAATGTACGGTGTAAGTTTCTATGGTAAAAGTATTTTTGTTTTATTTTGTAAGGTGTATTCAGTATAGGTTTTCTCATTTACATTTGGACTTTTTTATTTTATTGATATGGCAAGAGATGAAACACTCAATAGCTGCTCTATTCCTAATAGGGCCTATTAAATAAGCCATGAATTCTGAAATCATTTCCTAAACTATTTTTTTCTAGTCCTGGGATGCCACCAAGTGATCAACTTGCATATTACACTTGGATGAAAAGGGGTGTTTTTTTTTTATTTCTTAATAAAAGGGCCAATATGTACTTCCTAACCAATTCCCCTTCCTTGGGACCAGAACACAGTGTTATTCTGGAATTTTATTTGGAAAATTTTGTAAGTGAATATTTGCTGTGGCTTGGTCAGGATGTATCCAAGACAAACTGTCCAATGAGGCATGGTTGTTTTATCCGCATATAATGTATTTCTTCAGTCAAATTACTACCTTGACCTGGCCCTGCCACCCTTTTTAACCCATAAATCACCCACAGTCAATCCCAAGTGACATAAACAGTTTACCAATGGTAGGAAATAGTGTTTTAAGTAGAAAAACTAAGAATAAACATATCTTCACTTAAAATCCTGAGTGACATTTTGGCCCGAGGCTCAATAAAAGATTGTAGGAGTAGAGGGTAGAAAAAGGGGGAGCCAATTTTTTACTAAACTTGTGCTGGCTTTTATGGCAGCTAGAATGAAATGTCGCTCTCACTCCCATAAATGTGCCAACTGCTGTTTTCTTTCTCCGCAGTGAAGTGAGACTTCTGCTAGGAAGGAAATGGCTGCCTCTTCTTCGTCCTCCTCAGCCGGTGGGGTCAGTGGAAGTTCTGTCAGTGGATCTGGTTTCAGTGTCTCAGACCTTGCCCCACCACGGAAGGCCCTTTTCACCTACCCCAAAGGCGCTGGGGAGATGTTAGAAGGTGAGCTCAGGCTGCTTTTTGCTGATAATTGGATTCAGACCTGCAATAAATGTTAATTGTAAAGATGCTATTCAGTGGATTAGAAGAATTTGCCCTGATTTCAGCTCCACATTTCATCTTTTGTCCCCATTTCAAAATAATATCTTTAAAACACAAATCTCCAAAATCAGAACTTTGGAGCTGAAAAAGACTTTGGAACTCATAGAAGTCATCTAGAGCCGCGGTTGCCAACCTTTCGGACCTCGTGGACCACCGGTTGGCGACCACTGATCTAGAGTTATTTAGACCCAGGAACGTTCAAGTGATTTGCTCATGTTAAAGACAAAGTAAGCACTGAAACCAGAAATTCTCTTTTTTTAAAAATATATTCTATTGATTTTTTACAGAGAGGAAGGGAGAGGGAGAGAGAACTAGAAACATCGATGAGAGAGAAACATTGATCAGCTGCCTCCTGCACACTCCCTACTGGGGATGTGTCCGCAACCAAGGTACATGCCCTTGACCAGAATTGAACCTGGGACCCTTCAATTCACAGGCTGACGCTCTATCCACTGAGCCAAACCGGTTAGGGTCAGAAATTCCCTTGATCTCCTGCTCCAGTTTGCTTTATCCTAACACTAGCTTATCTCCCTATGATTAGTAGGCTTGACAAATTTTGTCTTATGTCGTTAATCTAAAGTTAGATGAACCCCATCAAAGAGGTTCTGGAGAGGAAAACAAAAGTAATATACTACTGTTACAGGTGAAGGTGACTGTGCTGGCCCACTGTGTGGTTTTACTAGCACTGGAGCTGGATTTTTGCATCATACTATCCGCCATCTTATTCTGCACACATTTGCAAACTGGCTGGGCAAGATCAGGGCACAGGCTGGAAGCATGAAATGGCACTGGTACCTGGAATTCATCAGATTCATGTCGCTTTAGGAGCTACACCAATAAATTCTTTTTTTTTTTTTTTGCACCAATAAATTCTTAATGGAGAGCATAAAAATGACCTGAAGAGCTTATTTAAGCCCCCATTTCTGGCCCACCCTTAGCGATTCTGAATTAATCTAGGGTGCAGCACAGGAATCTTTATTTTGACTAATACCCAGGGGAGTTTCATGAAAATGATCCTCAACTATTATACTAGTTATCATAATTTGGAAAAAAGTCAACAAAGAACCTATCAAGAATTCAAAATCTACTTGATTCTAGCACTTTTGTGCTTAATTATTTATTGATCTTTTTGTTTTAAATACTGCAAATTTCAGTAAATATATTTAATCTGAAAATGTCTCTGAGAAAGTTAACAAACTGTAGATAGCAATTGGCTTCCAGGGGTGATCTTTATTCATTTATATCAGGTATGATAAAAAGTTTTAAATTAAGCCAGGGCAAATAGAAGAATCATTTTGGCAGGAAAATATGGAAAGACTGGGACCATAAGGCTTTCTAGAATTAATTCAAATCATGATTATTGAAGTAGATGGTAGGGTAACATAGTGATACATCTGAAGTGTCTGTACTTGTGTCTTTGCCTTTTCATTTTCTTCAGTTTTGTTAAAATATTCAAGTTAGTGTCACTGAGTCTGGAGGTAGTAATTGGGACCTTACCATATTTGACACTGAAAGTATATTATGACTTCGATTATACATAGCATAGGCCTGGTATTAAGCAACTTTCCCACAAAACAAATCAAAAGTTGAAAGCATTTAAATTGCTTAATGAACAACAACAAAAAACTAAATTGCCTAATGAGTTTTATAGCAACAGATGAGGAATCAATGTTTAACAGCAGACTCTAAGATTGAAGTCATTTCAATTCTGGCTGTGGGAGGAATTTAATACTGGAGATCCCTCCTTAGTCTCCAAGCTATAAGCATTCTTTGCTAGTATACACCAGATTACTTGGAAACATTAAAAGAAGAAAGGCTTCTGAGATTAGTCTGAATGTTGATGTTCTAACAAGTTACAGCTCTATCCATTTTTATTCATCTCAGTGCGCTTTATGGAGGAATATGTTGGCTTTCTAGTATAGGAGGAATTAAGTTTAAATGCACAGTGCACAGTTTTTATTCTTTTTTTTTAAATATATTTTATTGATTTTTTACAGAGAGGAAGGGAGAGGGATAGAGAGTTAGAAACATCGATGAGAGAGAAACATCGATCAGCTGCCTCCTGCACACTCCCCACTGGGGATGTGCCCGCAACCAAGGTACATGCCCTTGACTGGAATCGAACCTGGGACCCTTGAGTCCACAGGCCACCGCTCTATCCACTGAGCCAAACCAGTTAGGGCGCACAGTTTTTATTCTTAAGTTTAAAGTTTCATCCATATTTTAAAGCTGCTTATACTTAAGGACAGAATATAAAAAATTAGAGCTGGCAATCCCTGAACTGTCCTGGTCAAATCAAGAATGTTAAATTGAGCCTGACAGATTGGATTCTCTGTCAGGGCACATGCCAGGGTTGCCAGCTTGATCCCCAGTAGGGGGCATGCAGGAGGCAGCTAATCAATGTTTCTCTCTCATCGTTGTTTCTATTTTTCCCTCTTCCTCTCTCTCTAAAATGAATAAAAATATTTTTTTAAAAAAACGAATGTTAAATTGAAAAGAATACTCCTAAATGTGAGTTAATAAAGATGTTAGATTTGAAACCCATCTTCTACCATTCTTACAGTGATACTGTTATGCAATTAATATTACCGTGTATCAAACCATTTTTCTTACAGTAGTTTAATTAAATATGAAAATAGAGTAAGAAGAGTTGAATATGAAAATAGAGTAAAAAGAATTGCCTGTTCAAACAAAGGTTGGATGCTGTTTATAATCTTAACAGGTTCAGTTTGATCGTGTATCCTCCTACATCTAGGATAGTAAACCCAATTAACCTGTAGTTAACCTTGTGAATTAACTTTTTTGTGTGCCTACTTGCCCCCTGATAAGCAGTATACAGCAGTTTTCAGCACTCTCCTGCCCTTGACCAAATTGTCCTCACCCAATTATTAGTAAGCCCTCCTGCTCAGAAGTGGCTGAATTTTAGTGACATTGTAGGCCACTGCGTTATAAGTTATCTGACATTGTCTAATTTCCTGTTGTGAGGTAATATTCTTTTAAATGAATTTGTTAGCATCCTATTTGTTGGAGTTGCAGTGGTGTTAGATTTGGGCAATTTACTGAACTTTTCATTACTTATAACCTTTGCTTGTCTCTTAAGAGGAAAGCTGATGTATTGTTGCTTGGTGTGTTACAAAGGGTTTGATTACAATTTCTAAATGGAAGACAGATTGCCCCAGGCTGACTCCTCTCTGGAGAAATTCCAGGCTTTAGATTAGTACAGATATCACACTTAATAGGATGTGGCTGAGGAGCAGTGGACTTTGTGGTTAATACAGAGCTGCAAATCAGCAAAAGTGTATTCTGTAGGCATAGAGAGTGGCAAAGAGATCTCAGCAAAAGCCTACAGAGTGCCTCTCTGAAAGGTTAGCTTACATCCTTTTGCTTTGAAGTTGATTACCAAGGGAAATATGCAAATGTTATAATTTAAACATTTTATTGATTTTTAGAGAGAGAGGAAGGGAGAGAGAGAGATAGAAACATCAGTGAGAGAAAAACATCATCAATCAGCTGTCTCTTGCACACCCCTTACTGGGGATCGAGCCCACAACCTGGGCATGTGTCCTGACCTGGAATCAAACCATGACCTCTTGTTCCTGGGTTAACGATCAACCACTGAGCCACACCCGCTGGGCAGCATTTTATCCTAATAGCTAGCACCAGTGATTAAATGTAAGTAGAAGGTACCACTTCCAAGAGTTTCCAGTCCAAATACATCTTGGCCTGATGCTTATAGCCCATAATCCCCAATGCCTTGTTTGAGATCTTAAAGCTCAATATATAGTTCAGGATCAAACCACCTGAGAATTGAGCTCTAATTCTCTATGCTTTGCTCATTCTAAAATGAAACTTCAGTTATAATTTGACTCTTTAAGCAGGGGTATGAATAAGATAATGAACACTGGTATATTTACACAGAAGAGCCATAATAAATTGCATCATTGTTGTCAAATGTTCACACAGTCCCTCTTCCCATAGTGGAATTTATAGCTACTCGCTGCCCGATTATCTGAAAAACTCAATGATATCTTTAGCTTATCTAGATCTTTAAACTGGACAGTCAGTGTAATATTCAATTAATTGGAAAAAAATTTTTTTTTGCTCAGTGTAGATGATCTGCTCCATAGATGACATGGGAGTGGGAGGAGAAGATCAGATCAGATCCCACATAGCACAATATGTAGAAAAGAGATCGAATTTAAAGAATGTAGCACTCTCCCTAAACTGCACATCACTTTATGAAAAATTATATTTTCCTTTTTTGCATCAATTTTGAATATTGGACAAAAGAAGCCCTCTTGGTTGTATACTCAGCCATCTGGACACAATATCCGTGGTGTTTTTTTATTGTTTACCATGACTTCTGAAATAAGGTCTGCCTTGTGTAAAAGTCAGCCTGAAGCCAGAATGTGTTAGTCCTAACTCCTTATCACTTAATACCTGGCTGACGCACCAGCCCATGATTGATGGCTGAGTGCTTGACACCAAGGAGTGCTGACATGAACTACCACCTAAAAAAAGACAACTGTGTCCTCTGCCTCCATTTGTTTTAGAATTTTTGCAATAAATTACCTTCCCCAAATGATTTGAGCTACCCTTGTAATGTCACATTTTCCTACATGAGCTCTGTGTCCTTTGGGGTATGTTTTGCTCTATCAGCCCCTGCCTGACAAGGAATAACATGAACTAAGTTGTATTTCACAGTCATCTTCCAAATGCTGTGGTGACTGAGTTAGCTACCTTCTTGTTGCCAGTGCTTGGCACCAGTACAGCACTAGGCTCTAAAATTGCACTGTACTCTTATTGCCATCCAAATTGCAATGTTTTGGTTCATTGGGAAAAATCAAGGTTACAATTTGCGTTGACAGAATGAAATTTCCCAGCAGTGTTTTGTCATGGTCATAGTGATGTAATTTGATGTACTGAAAAACAACAACAGCT